ACCCATCCCCAGGCTAGACATTCATTTCCCTTGGGTTGGATCCACCAAGGTACAAACACGTAAGTAATTGCTCCAGAGATTTTTATGAGTGAGGAGTGATACTGAAAAGAATACTTTATTTCTTTTGCTTTAGTGAGTTCAGTGAGCGTAATATTGTCACTCTGTGTGTAGAGGATGTAGCTGTGCAGCTGGTTAATAAATCTCTCTGGTCCAAACAGGCACTCACACAGCAGATGTTCCCTTAAGGCTTTAGAATTTGAAATAGGTACTGTCATCATTTTCTTTCAGGCAAACATTGCTGCTAGCTAATATTGAGTTGCTGTCATTGCAAATGATCATATATGTATGGCAGGAATATGAAGACACTTCTCTACCGTGGGCACATAATTTCCTGGTCCTCCAGACCAGAATTATGATATGAACCCCCCACCTTTCCTAGCCTCTCTCCCCATTCACTTCCTCCGTCAGCACATGTACACCCTTTCAGCTTCTTGTTGTTAAAGCTCAAGGTTTTTATGAATGAAGGTAATAAACCTTCTTATTGCAGCATCCCCAGCTCCCCCAATACCTACCTGAGCCCTATCTCAATCCAGCGATGTGCACGAGAGCCTCGACTGTCCTGAGTCTCTCCCTCCTTATTGGCTGAGAGCTCAGTGGGAGCCATTGGCTCCCTCTACTGTCAATCACAACCAGGGAGCCAATGAGGAGAGAGCAGGGGGCAGCGCAGAACCATGCAGTTGTGTGAATGGAAACACAGAGCAGCAGCTCAAGAGTGAGCCTGTTTGAGTGCTCCCATAGCAATCTGTTACAGGAGGGAGGGGCCAGAAGCACCGGCCAGGGCATTGAGAAGAGGGGGATCAGGGCTGCTCTGTGCAAAACCACTGCACAGAGCAAGTAAGTATAACATGTTTGTTATTTTTTTTTTAAAATCTGCCTTTAGAATTGCTTTAAAGCCTATTAAAGCCTAGAATTACCCCACACTGCAAAGGTTTCTCTTCCTCCCTACTGTGCCATGGCGCCCCCACATTCAGTGTAGGGCTATGGGCCTTGCATTGTACTTGATGACATCAGACCACTGAATCGTTGGGGAGATATATGCAACACAGCCTAGTTCTGCCCTGGCAGGGGTGTGTGGAAGAGGGGATCTGCCCTTGAAACGCGTCAGCCAGTAAGATCCTTGTGCTTGAGACTCATTCAGTTTCCCTGGTTGTGCGGGTCACTGCGGACACCAATGTGCTTCATGCTGTTTGCGAGTTTACATCTGTTTTTTTATCTTTCTAATAAAGCTGTCACAAAGATAATGCCCAAGGCTGGTGTGCACTATTTTTTTCTAGTGCGACGTTTTAGTTCTTTTTATTTTCTAGTGTGACTTTTGGCTGTCTCCAGCCCTGAGGGGACTGTGATCAATCATTCCCTTTGCATTTCACTTGAGCACAGGAGGTTATTGTTTTGCTTGCCAAGTGTGTGTACCTGATCTTTCTCTCCTGAAGTTTCACTTTCACTTAAAGGTCTACCACCTACCCCCTATCTATGACTAGAGAAGGAATGGAGAAACATCACATTGATGAGTTCAGCTCTCTCTCACTTTACTCCCTCCTCCAGTCAGCATGTTTCTTGTACTGCAGCACACCTGATTGGCTCCTTGTGCTGCTTTTCCCTCACTCTGTGTGAGCTCTGCTATGCAGTAGACTGCAAGAGGCTGCTAAATATTCAAATTAAGGTATTTACACGGCTTGCATTAAATTAATTTCAAGGCAAGGGCAACGAGTGTCTTCTGAAATGACACAAATGTTTTATGATGACCTATCCACCATGTAGTTCTCACAGATGTTAAATGTTACTACCTTTCTATCTATGTAATCTTGCATTCAGACTAAATGGGTCAGCAATGTCACTCCACTTGTGGTCAACAAAAAAACAAAAAATAATGTCTATAAGTTTACGCTGGACACCATCAAACAATGTCAGCCATACAAATTCACAAAAAGCATATTATAATTTGGCATACATCTCAACTAAAAACAGTTCTTCTCAAAGAGCACTTTATCTTTCTTAAACCTTACTTTTAAACCTCAACTCAAAAAGTGAAGACTTATTGAAAGCTATATTATAGGGTACTTCTAGGAATGGTAATTCTGTACCCTGAAAAATAGCAGTTCACCTCCTGAATGTGAATGTGCTTTTCTGTAGCCTAGTATTTGTGCACCTGCAGTATAAGATCCTCTAAAGCACTGCTGCCACTGACCACTAGTCTAACAAGGTATGGTGTGAATCAGGGGCGGACTGACCATTTGGAAACTCGGGCACTGCCCAAGGGCCCCGGGGTCAGTAGGGGGACCCATGAGATGCCCGTGGTACCTTTTTCATAGGCTTTTTTGAGTTTGGGCAAGGACACAGGGGCCCCATGATCCCCTATTGCTCGGGGGCCCCATGAGTTGTCAGTCCATCCCTGGTGTGAATTATGGTGATCTCACTACTGTGCTACTTGCTGTTCTCCTTGCTGGAAAGAAAGCTGTACATGAAGAACTGCAATACAAGGGTCTCCCTGGTTCTGATATATTCATTCTGTGGATCTATGCTTAGCACGTCTCTCCTGCTGTTTTTTGATTATTCCCCAACCAGTGATCAGAACACCAGTCATTAGGAGGGCAGCTGTACCATGAGGAAGCAAAACCCTGTTCCTATAAAGAGGGTCACCTCTACACAGGGATAACATGTAGAACAATACATTAAAAGTCATTAATGGGTGAAGGAGAAAAAGCAGGAAGACCGCAGGAAATACTGGTAACTAGTCTTTTGTTCTCTGCGTGATTTTTTTGGTCACAACTTTCAGAGTACAGGCTCTTTGTAACCTCTTCGCCACCCTTTAAGTGGGTCTTAGCACCAGGAGGTGGAGATGGTGTCCTGATCATGTGATTGCTGTGATTTTCTCTCACAGTGGTCACATAGTCAGGAGTCTGTCCCACGGGCTCTGGATCATAGAGACCAAATGCTGTTAGTGTGCTCCCACCCCACAACCTTGGACCCTCATTGACACATATGTGCAACGGCTGGGCATTAAGGCCTACCTGCCCTGCCACTGCATATATACATTATGGTGACAGGAAGAGGTTAAGATTCACAGTGCTCATTATAATCTGCACTAAATCAGTTATTGTACATATTCACATAATAATAGAGGTGGGACTGCAAGGTAGATGCTACACTGTTAGTGTTTGCATTGTCTCTTTCAGTTACAAAGTAATAAATCTGAGTGAGTGTCACATTTGTTCTTTGAATTTAAAACTTAAAGTGGTTGTAAACCCTTACATATAAACAGTGAAGTGACTGGCCTCAGGTGATACACAGAGACTAAACATATCCTACATACAGTAAGTTGTACCTGTTTATCTGCAGTCTTCTCTACATTCATTCAAAGTCCAAAATGTATATGACTTAGCATTTTCGCCACTATCCATGGGGACGGGTGAGGGGAGTTAGACTTCTGGTATGGTAGGTGCGATGTTCCTTGTATTGAAGGATCTTCAGGCTCGGATGTGCTAGGATACGGGTTGTATTGCAGAATCCGATCACACTGGCTCTGAGCATCTTGTATGTCTGTAATGTAATTTTGCACAATCTTTGTATGTAAGTAAACTGTATTTGGACTATACGGCCTATAGCCTCAGTTATTGTACTTGGTTTTTTTCTTTTTGTTTTTTGTTCTTGCTGTTCACTTGATGTCTAGCTTGGTGTCAGCCGGTGTTGGCATACTGTTGTTCCATGTAACATATAAGTTTCTTGCTTGTTGTTTTGTTTATATGACATGCAAAAATACCTTAATAAAAATTACTTGATTAAAAAAAAAAAAGTCCAAAATGTATAACGCTTGTCTGTACTTTCAGAAAACATGGGGGTTCAGAGTTGAAGTTAGATATTGCAGAGCTCAGTGAGGAGTGCTCTAAGAGATGATTGGAGGGAATGAACACACCCCTTTTACACAGGAACAGAGCTGAGGCTATCAATCACAAGCTGTGTCCTGGAGGTCCCTCCCCTTTTTTCTCTTGGTGTCAGGAAAACTTGTCAGAAGTGATTCATGCTGATAGCAGAGAAATGAGGCAGTAGAGAGAAATGACACTTAGTGCTCTTAATTAAGAGTACACACTACAAAGGGACATGCTTCATTCATATTTCATATCTGAGGTTTACAACCACTTTAAATTTGGTGAAATATTTATTTTAAAAAATCAGCACCAGGGACGGTACTTACATTGAAAGAAATGTGTACTTGTGGCTGCTGTGTTCAATGAAAATTTCAGTCTTTTTCCCCCTCAGATACTCCCACAGCTGTGATCTTCCAGCACTGCAGGGGCTAATACTAGTGGCTGCACCTGTCACGGTTCAAAAGTGCCAACTATGCCCACCCTTTCCATCTACCTGCTCTATTCATAAAGGTTATACTATTGGTTCCTAAAATGAAAAGCGATCTTTGAATGGAGGATGGACGGTAGAATGAAAGGTCCACCTCCTCCAATCGGTACAGCCCTTGTTATTGTGGGAAGTGATAGTTCAGCTGCTATAAAGGGAGCATATGGCAGAAAGAGCAGGCATAGTCTGCACTTTTGACAAGTAACTATGACAGGTCTACCCACTCGTATTAACCTCCAGAGCACTGAAAAATCATAGCTGCAGGGTATCCGGGGGGCGAGGGGGCAGAGGACTAAAGATTTCAATGAACATGGCAGCCACCACCACAAAGAATAACTTTCTTTCAGTGTAAGTACCATCCATAGTGTGGTTTTAAAGAAAGACAATCACTAAACTTAATCTTTGATGATTGTCAATCATATAGTATGCGCAACAGAAGCCATTGGGAACAGACAAGCATTCTCCAGAAAACAGCTATGAGATGCCTTGTAAATTACTCCTTCACTGTACTCTATGAACCAGTGATGCAACAAATTAATTCATTTCACTTGCCTGTTCCATCTCTGTAAAGATGTCAGTTCTTTTTTTTTCTCAGTTCTAGGCTTGGGAGAGTCAAGAGGAGCTCTGAGGCGGATGAATGACATCTTGGAGACCCTGGTGAGGAGGATGGACATCTTAGCACGACTAGAAAATGCTAGCGAGTCTCGAAGGGCAGAAGACAGCGGGCACTTCACTTTGGACAGGTCTGTAATCCCATCACTAGTGCTCACCATGTATTCAATTCTTACAAACATCAGTTCACCATATTTCTAGTTTTTATTCAGTTCCTCACACTATAATGCGGAAAAGGTTGAAGATCATAAATTTTCGAGAGAACAACTAGAAGATTTACACAGAATCTGACATCACGTCAGTGACAATGTGCAGTGATTGTCTCCAAGTCCTGACAGTTCTATGCCATCCTATGGAATGCTGAATTTTATGGCATAGCAGCAAAGCATGCTGGGGCTTGTCTAGATTCATTTACTTAATAGACAAAAAATGATTGTAACTTTTGCACTCTAGAGGCAGACAGTTATAGAACACAAGATTCCGAAGTAAGCTGTCTACTACCATTAGCTTGATATTCTGGAATACTATATCAGCTGCAAAAAAAAAATAATAATGCCTTATGACACCATTTATACCAATTTAATCTTGTCTCATAAAGAGCAAATGTGGTAAAAAAAATGTGGTTTACCATAAATCATAGACCAATAAATTCATTAAAGCAAGTGCCTCTTGTCTGTAGAAGCAGAATGAAACTTGTGCAATCAGCAGATTTTGTGTTGGATGTATGTACAGCTAATGAAAGCAGACACAGTATTTCAAGATTCTTAGGGTAACAGAAGAACCATATGGAACAAACTCCATGCACCTCTCCATATCTAACTCTGAAAGCAAAATTGTTGTATTGAAGGAAGGAGGTTTACGTAAACCGAGAGTGCAAATAGAAGTTATGAACTGCTAGAGCAACACAGGAGAAATAACCATTTAAGAATTCATTAAGGCCTTGTGTACATGGTAAAAATAGGTAGTTGCAGGGGTGTATTTACCACAAGGCAAACAAGGCACTTGCCTAGGGGCAACATTTTTCAGGGGGGCAGCACTTCCCCTCCAGAAGAAGGGATGAAAGAAGGGACATGTGCTCCATGGGATCCAAGTGGGATCCAAAAGAGGCTGCGGGCTGCTTAATGCTGTATGTAGAGCCTGACTCTCATTCCCGGGGATGTCGGGAGATGAAGATGAGTGTCTCTCTCTATCGCGGGGGGGGGGGGGGGGTCAATGTCAGGCTTTCTCCACGAGAGTGGTAAGGGGGGGGTTGGTGTTGGTTGGTGTCCGTGGGGACGGGCGATTTTTGTGTTGCCTAGGGCAGCACAAAACCTAAGTACACCAATGGGTGGTTGAGACAGCGTAGCCACAAGTTAACATGGCCAGTGGCCATGTTAGTACACACTGTAGTGGTTGCCATGCAGTGAAATTTATATAACCTTTGCATTTGTCAGGCAGAACCACCGCCAAACGCGACCCATTGAAATGCATGGAACTATGTCAAATCCACATGTACTGAACAGCGTGGCAGGCTTATGTTGTTTAAAATTGGAGTTCAGGAGTTTCACCTCCAAGCCATCTGTCAAATGCCTCTGGAAAGCAATGCTCTACATATCACTTTTCAGAAAGGCAGTAAACACCGCCACACACATAAGCGAACCCTTAAAATCAAATCTGTTTATCACAAGCCGAAACATTTGTACCCGACTTCAGTTTTAGTTTGAAGTCTTCTTTAAGAGCTGAAACTGTAATGGTCTCATTTCTGTTATGTACTTCTAACGTAAAGTGATTCTAAAGCTTCATTTTAAAAAATAAATAATAAACATGTCATACTTACCTGCATTGTGCAGTGGTTTTGCACAGAGTAGCCTTGAACCTCCTCTTCTGGGTTCCCCTACCGATGCTCCTGGCTACTCTCTTCTTCAGAGTGCCCTCATAGCAAGCCACTTGCTAAGGAGCCCTCATTCAGGCTTGATCCCGAGCTGGGCTGTGTGTGTCTATAGTCTCGTCCCTCCCTCCCAAACAGGATTTGATTGACAGCAGCAGGGTCCAGTGGCTCTCGGTGCTGCCGCCATGTCCATTGTGAAGACAAAGAGAAAGCAGAGCTGCTGTCTGGCACAGTGCTGAAGTAAGATCAGGCACAGAGCTGAATCGAGATCGGGCACAGAGCTGAACCGAGATCGGACACAACGCTGAACCGAGATCGGACGCAGCGCTGAACCGAGATCGGACACAGCGCTGAACCGAGATCGGACACAACGCTGAACCGAGATCGGACACAACGCTGAACCGAGATCGGACACAACGCTGAACCGAGATCGGACACAGCGCTGAACCGAGATCGGACACAGCGCTGAACCGAGATCGGACACAGCGCTGAAACCGAGATCGGACACAACGCTGAACCGAGATCGGACACAGCGCTGAACCGAGATTGGACACAACTCTGAATCAAGATCAGCTTAGGTAAGTATTTAGGGGGGCTAGGGGGAGCTGATTACAGAAGTTTTTTTTACCTTCATGCAGATAGATACAGTATATTTTAGTACAAATAGGAAACAAATCCCCATCCAAATACAAATACAGTTTAGAAAGCAAATGTAAAAACCACCCTAATGTTGCCACCTTCTTCAGCTTCAAAGCATTATGACAAAATAGTGAAATTTTACTTTTGATTACATTTTTGGAAAATAGCATGCAGATTTTTTCCCTATTAAAAAATACAACTACATAATGGCACATAAGAATTTGTTAGTATTCCAGGTTACATGTAAAAACATATCAGTCAGGTATATTAATAAGGTTAAAGCTGATGTTTAATCTGCTGATATTGCACCTTCCCTGGTTCCTCCATCTCCCTTCATGGGCATTATAATGACATTTTTTTAATAAAACCGTTTCATTTTCATTACACATTCAGTGACACCATCACTGGGACTGTGCGCTTCTCTATGAAATTCAGGCAGATTATGACTAGTGGGAGGATCCAACAGGGTGCTGTACATAGCATCCTAAAAATACCACAGCACCCTGCCTCAGTATTCCTCTCAAGAGCACCCAGTCCTGATATAGCCTCAGTGGGCTTGGCTTGCTCCTGGCAAGCAGCTGTGCGGCCTTCTGTGCAGTATATCATTGAGAGCAGTAACACTTTAAAAACCACTTGCAGACCAGAAATGTACCCGTACATTGCTGGACTTCAAGCAGTTATACTGGGGTGATTGGTACCCAGGTACCAATTTTTAGAGCCGTTGGTCGGCTCTCCTGTAAAAGCAACCGAAGCCTTCTTCCGCTCTCTTAGGATCTTTCATCCCACCAGACCTGAGCGACCAGCCAGCACATCCGCCAGCTGGCCGAACAGCCAAACAAAGCTTTGATCGGCTTTTCGGTATAGTAACCCGGAAGATGTGACCTGACATCACTTCTGGTTTACTCGGCGCTAAACAATGCCATTTTTATGTAGCACTACCCCCTTAGGAGTCGCTAGAGATTTGGGTTCTCCTATAGTGCTGATAGCCAGGCAACATGCATTTTTTAAAAAAGACTTGCATCCAGGAGACAGTAACGAGTCCTTGAGCTTGGTTTTTTGGATTTTATTAGGGGAATTGAACTTGGATGGGGTATGGGATGCCCAGAGGGAATGGCAACTGAGGACAATCTCCCTGGAACTATGTATAGTCTTTTTAGACAGCAAACATTATCTTCTGGAGAGCTAGCCAGCCTCTCCTGGTGTACCACCCCAGACCCCAGATACTCCTTTATCCAACTGTTCTGGGTGAATCCCTGGGCAGGGGATCCAGTGCCACTCACTTTAAATAGAAGTCAGTCCTGGGTAGTAAGCTAATCCAGTTTCCCACTAGAGTGCTCCTTCCCCTTTCTGGTCCCGGGGGTGTAGGTCTATTCGCTCAGTCCTCTGTCTATGAGCTGATGAGTTGGTAAATGCTCTCAGGCCTTCTGCTAGACTGCTCCTTCCCTGCTCCACAGATGGTCCTCGCTCTGGGGGCCCATGAGGTCCTGAGCTTTCCTCCTTTCCAACTCCTCTGCCTGTAGGTATGCCCATTCCCATCTGGGCCCCTTCCCAGGCTTTTGCTCTCCAGCATCTCACTCCATCTTCCACCAAACTCTCCTGCTGCTGTCACATTTGAAGGCTGCCTTGGCCCCATGCCAAGCCTCCAGCTTAAGGATTGGCCAAGGTCCTCTAAGTGTGCAGGTCAGCTCCTCCTCACCCCCGCCCACTGCTTCTAGAATCTTTTCCAAGATTCTACAGCAGGGGGAGGTATCAGGGAACTGGCCTGCAGAGCCTCTCAGCTCTGACCTGAATGTGACCTCCCTCTGACTATCACCACAGGCTGCTACTCAGCCTCTGACTAACAATTTATCACTAGTTCCCCCAAGCTATCTAGGAGGGCGCTACATTTAAAAAAATGAAAGCATTCAAAACCACCAATCTTGGTCTTTTGAATGCTTTTAAATGCAGAGGAGAGATTTTTGTAGACCCCAGATCCCTCCATAAAGAGTACCTGTTGTGTGAATATTGCTGTCACAAGGGATATTTATAGCAAATCAAGTGATAATTAAAAAATTTTTAAGCTACAGTGTGAAAATAATAAATAAATAAAAAATTAAAGTGCTCTCGCACAAAGGCCATGCGTCGGTGCTGCAATTTCAGATCATGGGCAGTAATTCGAGTACTAGACCTCCTCTGTTAAACCAAAGTGGTAACCTGTGAAGGCTTTTAAAGCGTTGCCTATGGTTAGTAACATTTATGCCGTTTATCACGGGCATGTGCAGTTTTAAAGCGTGACATGTTCGGTATCTACTCGGCGTAACATAATCTTTTATATTTTACAAAATAATTGGGTTATGTATTGTGTTTTTTTGCATTCAAATGTAAAAATTTGTATTTTCTCCCAAGAAATTGCATTTGAAAAACTGCTGCGAAAATACCGTGTGACATAAAAAATTGCAAAACCCACCATTTTATTCTTTACGGCCTCTGTTTTAAAAAATGTTCTAACTAATTTCCTAACAAAAAAAAATATTGATTTTTACATGCAAACAAAAGTGTCAGAAAAAGGCTTGGAGGTCAAATGGTTAAATGTTTTATGCAAGCTCATGCAAGTTTGTTTTGGGGGAGAAAAAACACTTGTATGGCACATTTACAGGCGCTTCCATTAACGTCCGTGGGGCCAGAGATGTGCAACGCAGCTCCAAGAAAGGCTCATGAATCTTTTTGTGCTTCAAGCAACTAAACATAGTGAAATGAACAGAGACAATAGAAAAGAATGTGATTCTTGATGTTCAGCATTGCCACGCAGAGAAATACATGAAAATACACAGCAAAACATTCGCGTGTAAATCGGGGCTAATATCCGCTGGGATTGAAGAGTATATCCAATCAAATCTTTTTTGGCACATGTTGTGCTGCTGTTATATTTCTACATAGGCTGGACCCTGGGCTTCGTGATGAAGCAGCCAAGATTTAATGGAATGATGGATATGGTTGTATGCAAACTAGATCTGTCACAAGAGAAATGTGGGAGCTGCCATTGCTGACCCTCTTTTGCAAGTGATAGTCCTCTGGCTTATATGGTGCTCCATTGGCGTTATAATACTTTCATTATTAGGAATAATTATGCAGATCAGGAAAGCTAGAGAAAAGTCAGAAGTCCTTAACTGTATACTTGGTATAGTTCAGTTGTTCAAAGCCACTGGATCAGCATAACAGCCAGGAAACTAGGATTTTAGGAAGGAGAAGTCAGCAAGCCTTTATATTTCTCTAATGAAAGGTGTCCTTTAAAGGGCATGACTGGACCAATTTAAAGTGGACCTTAAGGTACAACTTTACTTTACATAGATTCTTAAACCAGCAATAGAAGTCTTGAATCTCAGCAGGAACCAGCCGAGACTCAAACCATGTATGGGCAGGCTGAGTACCCACATTGATCGATCTATTTTACATTATTGATAGCGGCTCTTATACCCGCTTGCAATAATCACTGTCTTCTCCCAGCGGAGATTGCTTCCCTCCTCCTCTCCCCTCCTCCATCCCGCTTGGGGAACACAATGGCACAGTGGGAAGAATTCCCCTGTCAACACTGTCTGTGTTGATGGGGGAATCCAATTTCTTTCCTGCAACTATGGAAATTTGTGCTGTCTATAGCCTGCCTTACTTAGTTGCCCCCTGGTCCCTGACTGTCGCCTACTTGATCTTTTACTAATTTTCACTGTGTGGCCCAGCTCTGAGTCGCACAGTTTTTCCTCTAAGAATGGTGATTTTTACTGCACATGTGCCCCATTCATTTCAATGTAAAATCCATACTCATGGTGGCTTCTAGCAACTTCTCCATAGGAATTAACGGAGCTGTGGCACGCATGCGCAATACAAATCAGCCATGTTTACAAGAAAAATTGTCCAACTTGGAGCCGGGCCACGCATTGGAGATCGCTTAATTAGAGATGAAGATAAGTGCAGTATAAGACCAGGTGGGTAGTATTCATGGGGGTGGGGGCAACTAAGTAGAGGTTTTTTAGAAGTCTAAAAGTCATATTGCACAGTCCTATAGTTGGCACACAACACAGGGCAATTCTGGTGTGAGATGTGTAATAGCCTATTCCAACCAACCTAAATTAATCTCTTGACTGCTGTAAACCAAAATCTGATTGCTGTGGATTAGTCTCCCTTGCACATTACTTGTATTGATTGTACATGATCATTGCTTTTTTATGTTTTAAAAAAATATCTGTTATGTCTGTATATTCTGAAAAGCTAACATGCATCACTGCCTATCTTGTGTGTCACTGGAAGTGTGTGTCTTGCAGTTTTCAGCCAGGGAGTCTAATGGAGAAGATTCAAGCAATTGCTCAGAATGTTTCTGACATTGCAGTCAAAGTGGATCAGATCCTGAGGAACAGTCTCCTAAGAGGAAAAGGTGAGAGTGAGTACTGCTAGATAAATTGATTAAAGTCATGGGGTTGATTTACTAAAGGAGTAGTGATTTACACTTGGCAAGGTGCCTGCTCACTCAGCAAAATGACATCTTGTTTGGTTTAGTGTTTAAAGTAAACTTGTATTCACTCCAATACTTCAGTCACTTAGAATGCAGATTGTTTTGTTTGTTTTTTTTAATTTGTGTGCACGTGATTGGTAAACATAGCATCACTAATTTACAAAATTAAATAATTAATTTACAACTAAATCCTAACTAGCATTACAAGCAACTAATTTTATTTGCCAACAACAGTCATGGGCTATGCATGGCTCTTCAGCTCTTTGTTTCACATCATAGCAGTGCACAATAGAGAAGTCGGAGGCTGTGCAATAGATTAGGCACACCTACCTGCCAGCACACCGCCAACCAGCAGTCCATAGGCTTTAGACAATTCTCTTTCTGCAGGAGTGATGAGCTTGGGTTTGGCCTTGGGCTTCCAATACCAAGTTTGTCAGAACCCAGAAGTTGGATATCTTTGCTGGGCTAATGAGCTGTGGTTGGGAGATAGATGTGCACAAAGAAGCAGGGATGCTTGTGATGTCATTGACCTAATATGGATGCATGGCCATTATTAGCTCAATGTCACAGTCCCAGTATGAACACATGACCTTATTAGTGTCATTAATTAATTAAAGTCATTGACCTAATATGGGCACATGGCTGTATCAGGTCAATATCATTGACCTAATATGGCTGCAGGGCCATATTGGGTCAATGCTATTGACCCAGTATTGGCCCATGGTCATATTCGGTCAATGTCATTGACCTAATATGGGCACATGGCCATATTGAGTCAATGTCATTGACCCAGTATTGGCCCATGACCATATTAGGTCAATGTCATTGATCTAATATGGCTACATGGCAATATTAGATCAAAGTCATTGACCTAATATGGGCACATGGCCATATTGGATCAATGCTATTGAGCCAGTTAAGGCCCATGGTCATATTTGGTCAATGTCATTGACCTAATATGGCTACAGGGCAATATTAGGTCAAAGTCATTGACCTAATATGGGCACATGGCCATAATGGGTTAATGTCATTTACCCAGCATTGGCCCATGGCCATAATAGGTCAATATCATTGACATAATATGGTCACATGGCAATATTAAGTCAAAGTCAGTGTCTTTAACCTAATATAGACCAAGGCTATTTTGGGTCAATGTTGGTGACCTAATATTGTCACATGGCCATATTAGCTCTATAATGTCATGGGCACCCGCAACCTGCAGCTGCACATATATTAAGGGGTTCTCCAGAGCTCCCATCCACAATTGCTCAGCAGTGACAGCTAAGTTCCTGCTTCACAATGGACCTGGTCTGGACCAAATGGAAGCTCATCCCTACTGCAGAGGCACAGGCTTTGTCAATGTTGTTGACCTAGGACAGGAACACTGAAAAAATGCAGAACTAAAAGCTTGCAGAGAGAAAACAACTCCCTCGACATTATCAACAAAGAGTAGATCACCAGGATTTTAATTTAATTTTTGGTTTACATACACATTCATGTTAATTATGCCAATTTAACTTTATCTTCTCCATTACTAAAATACAGTAATATCCTTACAAAACCAAGTTTCTAGTTTGTGGACATTTCTATTTGTAAGATAATGTATTAATAGAGTTGAAGTACTAATTGCAAGGGTAGTTTAGATACACCTTTGTCCTAACAGCAGCAAATAGATTTCACGCCTATATAGTTGACCAGGCATGGGGTAAAGGTGAAGCCACGCTGGGCCTTTATGATATTCTGTTCATTGTTTGTTCTAGACCTCTGTTCCCCTCTTGTTCTGACAATCCTTTTGAGTGTAGACAGTTGGGAATTGCTCCGACATGATGACTCACACTGGCTGAATTCTACTTTATGACCTCTAGAACTTAGCTGCAGCTGATATCAGAGCTCTGGTGGCCAAGGATAACATAAGCTACGAGCAGCTGCTCCAAGCTAAGTGGCTCATTATATTGGCAATTTCTATTGAATAAATAGGTTTTATGAGTAATCTGTTAGTTTTATGTGTAGGTTCAGTGGGGGGATTATAGCATATGTCTTGGAGTGTAATGACATTGCTATAACATGTGTTGAGCTAGTAAATATTTGTTTTTAGTGCTTGAAGGTCAGAGGGATCTTTGTGACATCCCAAGAGACCCTAGGTACCCAGACTGCTCTGGAAAAGTGGAGGTATGTTTATTTTTTTTTTCTTTACTTCTTTTTCTGGTTTAGTAATATGCCATGAAATCACTAAGGAGCCCAATCACACATGTGCATTATTGAGCGTATAAAGTGTTTGTGCGTTATGAATGCATGCTTCTGCAAACTGAACTGCGTTGTTACAACCAGGAGCGGACTGACAGCTCATGGGGCCCCCGGGCAATAGGGGATCATGGGGCCCCTGTGTCCTTGCCCAAACTCAAAAAAGCCTATGAAAAAGGTACCAGGGGCATCTCATGGGGCCCCCTACTGACCCTGGGCCCTCGGGCAGTGCCTGAGCTTCCAAATGGTCAGTCCGCCCCTGATTACAACGCCTTGTAGTGTTTGCTTTTTTTTTAACTTGTATGTGATTCTTATGTGCTGCATAAAAATGCAACATGTCCTGCTTTGATCCTGCTACCACCTACGCAGTGCATTGGTGTAAACTGAAGCCACAGGACATAAGGAAAACTGCCTTGTTCTTGCATTGCGCAATGCAACCCAACTCTGTTGGTGTGAATGAGCCCTTAACTAAAGTAAACAGTAAAACATGAATATATATAAAACATGTTTAAAAGCACAAAGACTTGGAATTCTCTTCAGCCACTCTTATGATTCACATGTTATGTAACATTAGCATGATTGTATAACCTCCCAGTCACATTACACATACCAATTATTAAAAAAATATTTTTAATGATATTTTCATTATTGTATAATTGACCTCAGCGTAGGGCCAACAAAAAAGCAGCAGAGGTGTCCACTTTAGGTACTGCAATGAGAGGGGTGCAGCTGGGAACAAGGAACATCTTTCCTGAATCTTGGTTGTTATTATGACAGCATGGCCATGGTATGTACATCAAAGGTGCTGAAAGTGGTCCTGTATGAATTAGGTCTGCCAACGTGGTTTGCAGGCTTTATTCATAAATGCATTGTTTGCATATTGTCTTTATTGTCTATAAATAAACTATTTTGTTTTTGCAGTGCAGCATTACAAAATACCCCCTAGTTCATTTGTGCAAAAAAAACTTCACCACGCTTTGTAGCTGAACTTTAGCTTTAATGCCTATATAAAAGGGACAATTTGCACTTGCGATGAATGATTAACTACCTTAGTTCCCAAATGCAAAAACAAATTATCATGTATAATGCTGCTGAGAAGCTGGCTTTATTTTACCGTGATCATTATGGCTTTAAGCTGAATTCCAGGAATCCAGCGACTTTGTAAAAAGTGATGGCACTATGAGTTAAGTCCAAGTTGGTGCGTGCCACTTTGTTGACTTATCTCTGTTATTTATAGTATATCCGGCATACCCCGAGACACTCGGGGCTGTAGCAGAGGATCAAAGAACAAATAGCAGCTACACCCACCCCTCCCCTCTACTGCCCATTCACAGAAGCCTTTGTGTGAATGAGGTCATATAATACAAAGGCTTCTGTGATGGCCAGGAGGGAAGAGGCAGGCATAGCAGATACAGGGACTCTAATTTTGAAGATGCTGAGACCAGAAGGATCAGCATTGGGCTTCTGGAACTACAGTGATAGCTGTCTTCTGGGAGTGTAATACAATTGTCAGATGTAAATAACAGAGATAAGTGCAGGAGATGTCATGCACCTCCTTGGACTTAAATTGTAGCGTGCCTTCACTTTTCGAAAGGAGCTGAATTACTAGAGTTCAACTTCAACAAACCAACCACACTTATTACCAACCCAATTGTTTTTCATAGATCTAAAAGGTAGCAAAGAGAACCTGCCATTTCTGTGTTGTCTTGGCCAATGTACTTACAAACACCCAAGCATACTTTATCTCAGCTCCTCTGGGAGGGGTACACTTTGGCATCATTGCCACGGGTGTCAGAGGATCTTGTCCTGGCACTGACTTGGCTTAAAGATTATATTATCCTAGAATTTAATGGCCTTATATAACTACAATTTTGATAATATCTATGTTTCAGTGGATGCGATCTCGCTGGACATCAGACCCGTGTTATGCATTCTATGGAGTGGATGGGACAGAGTGCTCCTTCCTAATGTATCTTAGTGAGGTGGAATGGTTCTGCCCAGTGCTGCCCTGGAGGAATCAGTCTCTTAGTTCCTTTTCCAAACCCCATCCTAAAAAGCAGGTATGTTATTAGACTGTTCGTCAAAAACGTCTTGGAAAAAACTCCATTGTAAGCCCAACTAAACATAATGTATTAAATGTTTCTACATACTTTTATGAAGTCTGCCATGGATTCCTTGTTCTTTTCCTCCAGTACGTTTGTTACCTGTTACCTGGCGATTCTGCCAGCAGCCTCAGCTTCCTGAATCTTCGTGACATTGAAAACCAGAGGGCGCTTCCTGGTTTATCATTTTCATTACGTCCAGGTCTTTCCCTGTGTAAGATGCTGTACCAACATACAACGTTTTGCGGGGCCGTGGATAAAGGGGTACCGCCAGTCCCCCTGTGTGGGTCCCAGGCAGCTGGGTGAATCAGATGTGGGCAGGGAGGGTGATCAGCATGGTGGGGAGGGGGGGTAATTACTGGAACTAATCCTCTGTATGGCTCTCTCTGCAGCAGCTGAAAGCTGGCTTCTTCTCCTTTTTGCCCCCTCTGGATTTCAGCTGCTGCAGAGAGAGCCAAACAGGGGACCGGTTCCAGTAATTACCCACTTTGCAGCACCCATCAACCCACCCGCACAGCGCTGCTGGCTTCCCTCTTCTCCTTCCTACTGGCATCTGCAAGCACATGATAGGACTCTTTAGGATGGAAAGTGGGGGAAAGGTTTGGTAAATATGTCACATTTACCAGCACCTTCCTTTCCTGAATAAACACAATGAGTGATTGGTACCAATTACTCACTGCATTCATTCTTAATTAAAGCACAGTAAGCTGTATTTTTTTTTTGTGGGGAGGGGCTGTCAAATTGGCTGTATGGGGCCCCGTAGGTTCTAACAGCAGCCTCGGCGTTCTGTACACTATACTGGTCACATGATCATGAATAAAACAGACAAACCTTCAAAAAAAGGAAAATGCTTTAGGCTTAGAGCATTTTTTCAGTTTTAGTGTATTAGTAATGTTGATGTGTAGTTGTGTTGTATTGTTGAATACCATGGCAGGACATTACACATACTTAACTCCCACATAACAAATGTGCAATGGAAAGTTAAAGCATATCTAAACCCAAAAACAAAATGTAATATTTTGCAACTTACCACTTCTTAAATGTGGTGGCTGCATTTTTTTTTTTTTTGTTTTTTTAGGCATTTCTCGCATGGTTTCCTCACACAGAAATGCACTGCCATTTAGTAGACACACAGAGGTGCCATTAATTAATATTGGCACCCCCATGCATCTGCAAACGTGCGTGTTTTCGCACATGCCAAACCACATGGTGATGCAGCACCATGATGTTCAGTGCGACACATTTTTTGGAAAAGAGACATGTTTTCAGCATTTCTCACATGTAGGGAATTTTATAAATCAGAACAGCAGCTAACACTTTTTAAGCAGTTACAGCAACAGTTTTTCTTTTCCTTTGGAATAAAGGTTTTACACAAGTCTTGGTTCCCATCTATGCATGATATTTGTAGGACAGCCCTTTCATTTCGATGGGCTTCCCTACTCACAAGAAAAGTAGTGAAAAAAGTCCCTAAATCTTTTTTAAAATTGAGCCACGCAAAACCATGAAAAACGTGCGCAGTTGCCAGTGTGTGGGGTCAGTGGCGTCCCTAGGCAAGTGTGGGGGGTGTGTGGCACAGGGTGACACCTATCACACGGGGTGACACCAGACCCGCTCCACGAAAAGGTACGTTTTAAAGCAAGCCGACGATCCCCGCAGGATGGATCAGATCTATGGATTGAGCATAATGGATCGGAGTCCGATCCATTATGCTCCCCAATCCGCAGATCCGATCCATCTTGCGGAGATTGTCGGCTTGCTTTAAAACTTACCTTTTCGTGGAGAGATCAGTTAACCCCGTATAGGTTGCAAGCCGACGATCCCCACAGGATGGATCAGATTTGCGGATTGGGGAGCATAATGGATCAAAGTCTGATCCATTATGCTCAATTCGTAGATCTGATCCATCCTGCGGGGTTCGTTGGAGGGGTGACACCAAGTGTTATCATATCGGGTGACACCAACCCTAGGGATGCCCCTGCGTGGGGTGTGTCTGCTAATGTGCAACATGTTTCTCTGTGTCGGGAGAGCACATGATTTTCCATGCATTCCCAACACGCAGAGATGTGAACCCAGGCTGAATTATTATTATTATTATACAGTATTTATATAGAGCTAAAAGGTTTGCTCAGCTCTGTACATTATAGTGGGGGACAGTACATGAGACAATACAGTAACAAAACAGAACACGAGGGATTCAAGGGTCCTTTCGAGCTTACAATCTAGGACGGAGGGGATAGTGGTACAGGAGGAAGTGGCTGTGGGAGATGGAGTGGTGGGCGGAGAGGAGGAGATCAGCTGTTAGGTGAGGGCGGGGTAGGCTTCCCTGAAGAGATGGGTTTTCAGGGTGCGCCTAAAGGTGAGGAGGGTAGGTGACAGTCTGATGGATTGGGGTAGTGAGTTCCAGAGGATGGGGGAAGTCCTGGAGAAGTCCTGCAGTTGGGCGTGGGAGGTGGAGACCAGGGAGCTAGAAAGTAGGAGGTCTTGTGAGGAGTGAAGATTACGGGTAGGGTGGTATTTGGGTATCAGGTCGGTGAGGTAGTTTGGGGCAGCATTATGAATGGCTTTGTAGGTCAATGTTAGTAGTTTGAATTTAATGCGTTGGGCAATCGGGAGCCAGTGGAGATGTTGCAGAGGTGGAGCCTGCATGAGTTTGCCAACGATTGGACATGGGGTTGGAAGGAGTGACACCTAGGACTTTGGCTTGTGGGGTGGGACTGATGGTGGCGTTGTTGGTCGTGATGGAGAGGGTGAGGGGGCGCAAGGGCTGGGGGGAAAATCAGGAGCTCGGTTGGAAAGGTTCAGTTTGAGGAAATGGAGCGACATCCAGTCTGATATGTCGTTCAGTAGGTGGGTGATACGGGCGGAGACTGAAGGGGTGAGTTGAGGGGAGGAGAGGTAAAATTGCGTGTCATCGGCATAGAGGTGATAGTTGAAGCCGTGGGAGTATATCAGTTTGCCGAGGGAGGAGGTGTAGATGGAGAAGAGAAGGGGCCCGAGGACAGAGCCTTGGGGGACCCCAACAGAGAGGGGGAGAGAGGGGGAGGTGGTAGCGTTATAGGCAACGCTAAAGGAGCGTTGGGATAGATAGGAGGAGAGCCAGGAGAGAGCGGAGCCTCTGATGCCAAGGGAGTGTAGTTTATTAAGAAGGAGGGGATGGTCGACTGTGTCGAAGGCCGCAGAGAGGTCAAGGAGTAGGAGGACTGAGTAGTGGCCATTAGCTTTGGCGGTTAACAGGTCATTAGTGATTTTGAGTAGGGCAGTTTTGGTGGAGTGTAGGGGACAGAAGCCAGACTGTAGTGGATCGAGGAGGTTGTTGTCAGTGAGGTGGGTGCATAGGCGATTGTAGACTAAGCGCGCAAGGAGTTTGGAAGTAAATGGCAGCAGGGAGACGGGTCTAAGGTTGTTCAGGTCGGTGGGGTCCAGGGAGGGTTTTTTGAGTATGGGGGTGATCTGCGTGTGCTTTAGGGGGGAGGGGAATGCGCCAGTAGAGAGGGAGAGATTGAAGATGTGGGTGAGAGATCGTAGGATGGAGGAGGAGGGTGACCGGAGGAGTTGTGTGGGGACAGGGTCAAGGGGGCAAGTGGTGAGGTGGGCTTCTGAGAAGACCTTAGTAACCTCCTCAGTGGTAGCAAGGCTGAAGGAGTGGAGTGTTGGGGAGGTTATAGTGTCCAGGACGTTAGGTGTGGTGGGGGGGTAGGGCAGTTGCGAGGTCAGAGGAGAAGAGAGTTGATGGGGTTATAGTGGGAGGGAGGCTAGGTGGGGAGGTAGGTTGAGTATTGGCGATGTCCTTATGGATTGCGTCGATCTTATTTTGGAAGTGATTGGCAATCTCGTGGGCGGTAAGTGAGGTACTGGGTGGGGGTGGGGGGGGAGAGTAGGGAGTTGAAAGTGGAGAAGAGCCAGCGGGGACAGGTGGAGAGGGTGTTGATGAGGGTTACGAAGTAGGCTTGTTTGGCAGCGTGGAGGAGGTAGGTAAGGAAGGCGGATTTGTAGAGGGAGAATGCTCGAGGGGATCTGGTTTTGCGCCATAATCGCTCCAGCGCATGACTGCGTCGTTTAAGATGTTTAGTGTGGTCGTTCTGCCAGGGTTGAAGCGGTCGGGGTCTAATGCTACATGTGGTTAGGGGTGCTAAGGAGTCTAAGGCAGCTGACAGCGAGTCGTTATACGCAGTAGTGGCCAGGTCAGGGCATGACAGTGGAAGGATACTGTCGTACAGACGGTCAGCATGAATGAATAAAAGCTGGCCATTGTAAGTACCCCTGTCAGTGATAAATAATTTGTCTCAACCCTCTAAGTGCCACTTTAGCTGGACAACTTGCTTGTTGAAGAAAGCTGAAAAATGGCTGGCTTACTGGCTGGATCACAAGTGAAAATAAAGCAGAAAAAAGTTTAAAAAAGAAAACAAATGCAGCGATCACCTCTAAGAACTGGTAAGCTGCAATATGTAAAATGATTGCTTTTGAGTTTAGTTATAATTTAAGCTTCTAGACCAATATATTTATCATCTTTAGGCAGTGTGTTAAGTATATTAAACTGTGACCATGGAAACCTTTTCATTAAGTTCTCATTAATGGCATGTCCTCAAAGGCCTCCTACAGCTTGGTAAAATAGCACATTAACTGAAACAGTTGTAACCGCCATAGTAAATGTTGCTTCTAAGCATCTAGAAATGAAAGATGTTGAAATTCATGTTATGTATTAGTATATTCTGGTAACAATGTCACATACGTTCTTCCTGGTATAAATCACTTCATCATCATTATATAATATTAGGCCTCATGCACACTGACAATTATTTTAACTCCCTTAGAAGCCAGCAGCGCTTTGGAAAAAAAAATGCTTGACACTTGTAAAAGTGCGCACCGCGTTTACCCCTGTCATGCCTTTGGGCGCAAATTTATTTATTTTTATTTATTTCAGGTACTTATATAGCGTTGTCAATTTACACAGCGCTCTA